ATATCAGCATAACAATTGAAATTCATGGTTGTACATCATAGTAATTACATCAGGATATATTACATATTTGTACTGTGCAGATGGTTGTGATAATTTATATAAATTATTTATAATTGAATACATTTTGGACACTGAAGTCTAAAATGAAATTCATCTCCAATAATGGTACAAGTTGTAAAATACTCTATTTGACCTCTTTACACCATGGAAATGTCCATGTTTCAACAAATAAATTATGTGATTATTGACACATCTTAGTAAAGTATACATGACATGAGTGAGTTTTTCCTTAAAACATTCCAAGAATTTTAACTTTACAAGTCAAATGAAAATTATATATAATGGGTCTAAAAAAAGTGCCTCCAATACACCCCATGCCATTAATTCTATAACAACCCTCAATTAAAACTATACTGTAGAAATATCTTTGATACACAATATTAAAAAAACTCTTGCAGAAATTTTCAATCTTTAAATGCAGTTCCTGCTTTGCTTGGTCAAAAATTTGTTTTTCACAAAATGCCTTATTATCTTTGTTGTTGTCAAAATCATTGAGTCCAAGATTAAACAATGAATTCTTAACACTTGTTTAAATACCCTGTCAACTGAATTTTAATAGCATGAACACCTTTTAAATGAAGCACTTTTTTAATGTAACATGATCTTTAAAATACCGCTTTATGAATAAAAAAGTTTTTGATATTGTAAACATTCTTTTAAAAACCAGTAGATGTCTACCACAATCATTATAAACCCAATATAATTGCAGTTGTTTGTTAAACACAAAGTTTATTTTTACACCCTTTCTACATTTGGGACTTTGATAAAACCTCTAAACTGTAATTCAAAATTAAATTACTACATACATAAAAAAGGATAAAAAAGCTGTAATTTGTACATTGCTTTTAGACTTTGCTTAGCAAGTTTTGTTTGCGATTCCAAAAATCACAATTATAATTGTACAAAAACACCAATATATTTATATGTAAATACTAGTTCCATTTAAGCACCTATATACAGCTATACTTTGCTGTATTTAACTATACCTCTGTTTCCAAAGACTATAATATTTGCTGTTGAGCTCTATTTATGTGTGTATAGTTCTAAAGCAGGGCTTCCAAAACGGTCATATATTCCGGACTTGACCGAAACTTTCATAAAAAGTCCGGCTGCTCTCAGCCTCAAACGGTCAAATAGAATTGGTTTCCCACTTTTTGTTATTCAAGGCATTTTCATAAAACGGTCATTTCAATTTTTACCAACTATCGATCGATAAAAATGTCCGTTTGGGGCTTTGGGCATGTCCGTTTGGGCATTTTAGTTTATAATTGTGGCAATCTATTTCACAAAGATATTTAGGTCATAATTGGGTTTAATAAAACAGATGCAGCATATTTCAGATACTTTGAAGTGTCTCAGTTAGTCTAATCCTCTGGGTACATAAATGTACGGCTTGGTCTTTAGCTTGTGTACATCAATACAAAGTAGAAAAAACACGTTTTCTTTTATTTAAATAACAACAAGCTGTCAAACAATTATCACTTCAATAGTAATATTGAAGCCATAAATCATTCACTGATTACAGGTTGTTACCTCTGATGAGGTGTCCTTAGCTTGTCTTAATCAATAGAATTAATGATGCATAACAATGGACATAAAGGTGATCAGGTAAACGAGATCAAACATGTAAGCGTGTATGGAACAACATCCTATTTAATTACGCTTTGTAGATATTATTTTAACTGAGCATTCAGTTTTAAAAAAAGTATCCTGAGATTTTAAAATAATTCTTCAAATAAGAATATTTATAAATGAATTTGTATGATATTCATTATTATATTTAAACACTGTACATCGTGTTAAATACTGGGGTACGCTAAAGGGTATTCAAAGTTATTTTCTTACATTTCAGCAGTTTGCATCTAATTAATTTAGTCTGAAAGATTGAAATTATAAGAAATACGTTAATAAATATGATTTGACGAAAAATTTAAAAAGGTTTTAAACGAATAATCGTCAGAACCACGTTGTTTGAACTAGTACACGTGTGCGCATGTGCGCTGGTGGGAAATTTAATTATGCATCCTAATTCTTCAAAAATGCTAAAATTATCATTGATACCTTTATCTAACGTTCATTTCGAGTAATTTCTTGAAGAAATAACTTGGAAAGAGCTACTTAACTCAATCATGCTTTGTGAACGTACACGGATTTTACGTATCCGTCTCTGGTCCGTGATTTACCATTGTCAAGTCAATATCCGGATTAGGAAAATGTGCTTTTTAAAAACGAAAGTAAGAATCTTCTGTCCAAGTTTGATAAAAATCTCTACATACTATCTTTTGATTGTAAGAATCTTCTGTCCAAGTTTGATAAAAATCTCTAGATACTATCTTTTGATTGTAAGAATCTTCTGTCCAAGTTTGATAGGGGTTAATGTCACATTCTACAACATATGGGTAATTTCATGTCAGATGGTCACTTCAAGATGTGACATCAAGCCTCTGTTTAATAGACAGTCCCACAGGAATCTGATGTTTAGTAGTTGTCGTTTGTTGATGTGGTTCATAAGTGTTTCTCGTTTCTCGTTTTTTATATAGATTAGACCGTTGGTTTTCCCGTTTGAATGGTTTTACACTAGTAATTTTTTGGGGCCCTTTATAGCTTACTGTTCGGTGTGAGCCAAGGCTCCGTGTTGAAGACCGTACTGTGACCTATAATGGTTTACTTTTATAAATTTTGACTTGGATGGAGAGTTGTCTCATTGGCACTCATACCACATCTTCTTATATCTATCCACAGTTTAGATTCAATTTCCATGTCTGACATGTTATATGGTTAATGTCAGTTCCCTGCCACAGATCTGTTTCTGCTGGGTACTTTGGTTTACTCGGCCAAAAAACTGACCATCTGACATGAAATTACCCATATGTTGTAGAATGTGACATTAACCCCTATCAAAGAAACCATCAGCATGTTCACACAACAATGCTGCACTGCTTTTGGCTGTGATCTAGAGTCATCATGGTTGCAATATATAAAGTTTTTTAAATATAAAAAAAATCCCTACCTACGTGACCCACCTGCTGATGGTGTGGGTCGGCAATGCCAAACAAACAATTTTGGTAAACTTATAATGGTAAACTTATATTTTAATCAGTTCGACCACTACAGCTCCTTGTACAAATAGATGATTTAAAGCTTTGATTTGCTTTTTTGATCGGATTTAAAAGTAACTTTCTACATCATGTGGGCAAGTTCATGACAGTCAGTTATATTGGTGGATGGAAACGTAGTGCACGGAGGAACCTTATTATCAATGTCATGACAATCTAACCTTAATTTTGTGAATGCATACTTATACCTAGAGGTGATAGACTAGTATTGATACATGCAAATTTTGACGAACTACCATATGATCAAAGCCACTGCAGTCCCTGATAAGCTTTGAGGATAGCAAAATATTACAAATGTTGACACAAGAACATACATGAATGTCTTGCAGGGTGTTAAAACTAATAACCACAGTGAAAGTAAGATAATTTCAAAATATGAATATGCTGTAGGACAGATTATTTTTGCAGATAAATTAGAATAAATTTTAAGGTTGTTATGATTGTTTGATTGACAGGGTTCTTGACATGCATGCCATAAATACAGTTAAATTCATGAGCCCTTAATTTGCTTAAAACAATGGTACACTAGATACATTCATAAATATGTTGCTGTCAGATATCTTTTCTGTTTTAAGGATTATCGTATTCATGTTAAGAAGAAAGAGTGGGGTTGGGATTGTAAGTTCGTGACACACACAAGAGGCTAGTCTTTGAAATATGTATGTTTGTACCAGACTAACCTCTACTGGTACAAAACTACTATAAAACCTGTAAATCTGGGACCATATTGGTCTTTTAGCCTTGGTGCTTTCATGCAGGTACACCTTTCAGCCATCCAGCCAAGGCATCGCCATCTTGAATAGATATAAGAAGATGTGCTATGAGTGCCAACGAGACAACTCTCCATTCAAGTCACAATTTGAAAAAGTAAACCATTTTAGGTCAAAGTCAAAGAATGCATTGTTTTGGTATTTACATACTTTGTTATCTGGTGCAATGATAGATTTCTCATATTTAAGAGATTTTTCAAATGTTAAAGCCATAGATGTTTGTTCTGTCATGTCTAGGTGAAACGTTTCTATCCCATGAAGTGAGTATGGAAAGCAGACACCAACAGTGTCACTGTCTGCTTTATCAAAGACAACAATTGAGTTCTCTAAAAGGCCTTTCAGATCATGCACCCATGTTCCATCTAAAGAATAGGTGAACATCTTAGTTTTCATAAAATGTTCCTCTCCCTTGACTGGAGCATAAGGGGATGCTATCCACTGCCTGTCTTTTTGACATTTTTGGCAGACTTTTTCTAACCTATGTCATTCAAACGCTTTCTCTGAAAACAGTGTACAACAAAAGCTTTAAAGATCATGATTTGAAATAAGTAAAGCATGGAAACAAACTCCACGGCTATGATGAAAATTCCGGCAGTATTCTGATTTTTTACTATAAAAAAATACTAATTTTGAAACGTTAACCATGACGCCAATGACGGAATGTAGGATTTCTATATCCTGTTTTTTGAGACAAAAGTGTATGAGAGAATATGCATGATAAAACAGAAAGTCACAATATAATCCTAACCCTAGAATACATTGTTGAATGAGACAATAAAATCAGTATAAAATCTTAAGTTTTCCCCCTCCCAAAAATACATAAAATGTTTGATATGAATAAAAGTTGTGGGTTGTGGGTTGTGGGTTGTATGTCAAAAAGACAGCAACCCAACAACAATGATTATTAAGGACAACTACATGACAGCAGACAGTCTCCAATGATCTGAATGAGCAATGATCTAAATCTATTACTTTTTCGTTACAAAGTTTTCCTTTTGATAACACACATTGTTTTATTTGGAATTGTATTTAGTTATGTACAGACAATTTAAGATATGATATTATATAAAGGAAAAAAACATTTTAATTTATCAAAAATGAGGATTTCTTTTCACATTTATTCTGACTTTTATATAATTTAAGGTGATTTATAGATATCTTCAGTTACTTGAATAATTTTATGAATAATTGGTACAATTAAATAATGGATTAAAAGAATATTACTTTCAACCACAATAACAGAACTTTCGTTTTATAATATCATGAATATATTGAAAATTGACATAAGGCAACTACTTGTCATATATACATGTATATGTAATACATAACAATGTTATAGTATTATATATTTTATCCAGAAGATAAATTGAATTTTGCCAAGTATGTGTTATTGTAATCACATATAAAACCGGCTGACTCATTTTGTTTAAAACAAATACACTGAGGCTCCTTCAGTCCATCTTCTCCACCAATCAGTACTTTACTATTCTGTCCATCTTTTGATATTACTACTATTCTATTAGATTCACAGTCTGCTACAATAATGTTGCCATAAGTATCTATACAAAGTCCTCTTGGTCCTGTTAAATCCTGTGTATATTGCCAGATCTGTTTACCTGATCCATCATAACAGTTTACTGCTTTGCCACTATAGTCAGTATAGATTACTCTGTCATTACAGTAAACAAGGTAAAACAGGAATGATTCACTCTCAACTTGTACTGAATTCAGTGTATTTCCTTCCAAGTCTAAAATACGGATTTCATCATCACTACCTCCAGCATACATATCCTCATCAATCAAACCTACAGCAAGAGATTTATTGGAGAATGATAAACCAAAGCATTGTTTGTCTAATGGGATAAATTTGGTAACTTTTTCATTCTCCATATTGAAGATCTTAATGGCTTTCTCCTCAGGATAAGTTATGCCTATAGTGTTCTGATTGATCTGTGTTATACAGTAGGCTCCATCAGGTATAGGTAACTGTTTCTGTAGTTTGCCATCAGAAGTAAATAGGTTAACTTTATCACACCATTCCACAACTATAACTCTTCCATCCATCAGAAAAATCATGTCACTAACCACCCCCCCCCCCATTGGTCTTTATCTTTGTCTCTATATTCATTGTCATGTTGTTTATGATGGATTGTTCTCGTGTTTGACGAACTTGTGCTTTCCTCCTCACACTTGTTTCTCTATTCAAGTCTATATTTTTTTTAACAACCATTATTTCTCCCAGGGGTTCTAATGATATTAAGTTGCTTTGTATACTTTCTATCTCATCATTTTGTGTTATTTTGATGTCAAATTCTTTGGTCCTCTCATCATTTTCCAGATCATCAACATATTGTTGACATTGATGTACCTCTTGTTCAATCTGATGTACACCTAGAAATGATTGGAGTTTTGAAGTGTGTGATATGACTGTATGTAGGTGGTCTTTCATTTTCTTTAACTTTTTCTGTTTTCCTTCAATTTTAGTTTTTATATCTGATGCTTTTGATTTTTCTTGATTTAAGATGGTGTCTGTTTCTTGGCATAACTTCTTCTCCAGGTCATCTAAATGTTTATTTATTTTCTTTCTATATTTTGCAATAGTTTTCTTTATGCTGTTCACTTGTTGTTCTCCTCGTATCATGTTTTCTGATTTGTTGTTCATTATTTCTTTCAAGATGTGTAAAGTAGAGTTAATATCATTATCTATTTTTTTTTGTGATTTTTCAATTTTGGTGTTGTCTACTACACTCACTAGACTGTTTATTCCTGTACATTGTGAATGACTAGTGGAAATACATTCATCACAGCAAGGCATTAAATGACTGGGACAATACAAGTTAAGCTGTCGACCGTGTTTGTCACATTCTGTTTTGATAGTTCTGATTGAGGGTTTATAACTTTTAATATCAATAGTCTTATGATCACGTGTTCCTTTGAATCTTTTGTGATGACCTGAACATGTAGAGCATAATCCTTCAACACAGTTGTAACACCAGATGTCAGCTTTAGTGTTTACTTTTCCTTCTTGACAAGGTCCACATGGTATAGGTTTATTTGATGCCATGACCTAAACAAAAATAAAAAATAAATTATTTGACCTAAAGGGTAGGGTCCAACTGGTATAGATTTGCTATTATTATATCATCTTATTTTGTAAGAGAGGTGGATTTAAAACAAAAAATGGTTGTTATATGTACTGATGACAAAATAAAGGTCAAGTACGATATTTAATAGTTATTACACTTGTTGTAAAAATGCTAATATATATATATATGTAGGACTAAGAACTGCAATGGTACTCCGAACCTTGATGGTCACGCTGAAGTGTGATGGTTCATGCTGAAATGCATTGGTTAACATGTTGAAGTGTGATGGTGACATTGTGATGCTAACTTGTTGTTAGTAGTCTGAAGTGCGTTGGTGGGTACATTGAAGTACCATGGTCTAACTGTGACGTTGTGTATAGTAGCAAAATGCGATGGTCTTCATTTTGATCCCCATATAATGTGGTGGTGTAGTATTGTGTGAGCTATCCTGGCATATTTGGTCAGGTCAAAGCAAATGAACCAAAGGAACAAAAGACTTCTAATATTTTTTTTTCTAATTATCCGCTCATTACACAGCAGTATGGAGCAGAGAGTAGACTGGATGGTTCAGATTAAGTATAATGAATAATTGATTCCATTTGTTCAAGTGCTATAAGAAAAATTGGTTCAACGTAGAGGTCTATAGTACTTATTAAGCAGGGTCCATCTAATTTTATCAAATATATATGTAACTTAAGCTTGTTCTTGTCTTTACATAGCAAAGCAATTGCTCACAGCACTGATTCATCCAGTCATCTGATACATAACAGTTTATAAGAAATAAAAACTACCAAGGTTGAGAATATGAAGTAAAATAGAATAGTTAGCAAAATTACTTTTACGCATACAATGCAAATGTTGTGACAGTTGTTTGGTTGTATGAATGAAGTTGCATGCATTTCATTGATAAAATGACAAGGATGGACTTAAGCAAATGACGTTGCTGAACTGATACATGACATCATTGCCTAATATTTTTGTGTATCAAAGCCTGTTCATGATCTTTAAATTATTAAGCAGTAGGATCAAAAGGAAAATGTACAAATTGTCGATAAAGATAAGTAGTTCTATGTAACTAAATACCTCTTGATGGATGCAAAAGTCCTTTCAGTTTTCTGTATCAACTTTTAAAGTTATTTGCTTCACTGATTCTAAAAATATGGTCGTAGCAGGAAGTAGATAAGGTCATGTTTATACCTGATTCAGGTGATCTATAAACATTTAAATGACTAATATTATATATACAATGAAATATGATATATTGCTAACAATTGGGCCAAAGATGAATTAAAACATTTTGTCAGATAAGATCTCTTTCAGTTATTTATCATAGTTTAGAAATATTTCTTGTACTATTTGTTTCCATTTACGGTAATTGACATTGATCATACCACAGAATAGGATATATTGATAATAATCTTGCTTTTAAAAAGGAAGTTTAGATCAAAAATTTTTCTATTTATTTAGGAATTTAGCTTTGCCAGAAAAACTTCTATTCTAGTGCTTTGATAGCGGTATCACAGGATCAATATTTACCTTTCTTTTTTTGCACTATTATCTTCCTCTTTATTATGATATTAAAAGGCAGATAAACAAAGTGAACAATCTTGAAACCTTGAGGCTCTTTTCTCAAATTACTTTACCAGTAAAATTATTAGTAAGTCATGCACATTTCAGTTTAACTGAAGATTAATTTTAACAATTTTAATCGTAAAATTTTTTGTGAAAAGAGTAACTGAGGCTAAACACACTGACCTTATTATTTCATGTCCTATAAAATTGTCAACCTTAATTAAAACAAATCTTTTCAATTAAACGCCTCTTAATTAATGTGTTTTATATTTAACTCATTTCATTTATTTCTTTACTTCTTTTAAATGTAAAGAAGTTTTAAATAAGGTTAAAAGAGGCTATTATTTGAACTTGGAATTATTTTTAATTATGGAAATTGCATAATTTCTTGTGCTTGAAATTTTTAATAAATTCCATGTTTATTCTGTATTATAATGTTTTGAGCGGTGCATAACACTTTCCATACAATGTATTTTGTATAGATAGTGTTGTGCACCGCACAGTACATTCTATTGAAAATGTGCTATCTTCTTTGTAATAGAAAGTGTTGTGCGCCGCACAGAACATTAAAATACAGAATAAACATAAAATTTATTAAAAATCTCAAGCACAAGAAATTATGCAAATTCCATAATTAAAAATAATTCCAAGTTCAAATAATAGCCTGTTTTATGTTTATACCTGATAAAGGTAACCAGCAAACATTTAATTGACGTTGATCATACCAGAGAATATGATATATTGATAATAATCTTACCTTTAAAAATCTTGTTTTGTTAAAATCAAAACTTTTTTTATGCCCCATTATTACGTTTTTTGGTCTGTGTGTCTGTTCGTCCGTTCGTTCTTTCATTCTCTGTTCATCCGTCCATCTGTCCTGCTTCATGTTAAAGTATTTTGTTCAAAGTAGTTTTTGATGAAGTTGAAGTCCTATCAACTTGAAACTTAGTACACATGTTCCTTAAGATATGATCTTTCTAATTTTAATGCCAAATTAGAGTTTTTACCCCAATTTCACGGTCCACTGAACATAGAAAATGATAGTGCGATTGGGGCATCCGTGTACTATGGACACATTCTTGTTTTTATAAGCCTGTTTTTGGGACGTATTATGGTATATCGTTGTCCGTCCATCGTCAACATGTCGGACATTAACTCCAAAACACTTTAACCAATATGCATGAAACTTTGATGCATTGTTTATATCTATTGACGTGAGCTCCCTTTCATTTTTTTATAAATTTCAGATTTACCGTTTATGAGTTTTGGGGTTTTATTCATTAAAACGGGGGAATTTTCCAGTTTTCCGACAATAACTCAAGAATGCTTTCTCCAACTTGCAAGAAATTTTGGTGAATTGTTTATATCTATTGATTTAAGCTCCCTTTAGAATTTTATAAATTTTAGATTTTACATATCTGAGTTATGGGGTTTTATTCATAAAAAAGGGGGAATTTTCCAGTTTTTGGACAATATAAACTCAAAAATGCTTTGGTGAATTATTTATAGCTATTGATGTAATCTCCCTATTGATTTTCATAAATTTCAAATATGACATTGAGAAGAAATTGAACTTTATTTGTTTATAGTCTGACAACAGATTTACTAAGTATTGCACAACAGCACAGCGTATTGCACAACATCACAGTGTATTGCACAACAGCAAGAAATCTTTAATTGAATATAAATTCAATTCATATAACCAATTTCAAGTTCTTTGACTACATTTATTCAGAAACCTATAATATGTCAAATATTTAATTACAATCCCAATTCAGACCTGTATCAAGCTTGAACATTGTGTCCATTTTTGCCCCAACTGATCAGGGTTGGACCTCTGCGGGCGTATCCAGCTGCGCTCAGCAAAGCAGTTTATTAAAATTTAGCTTTACCAGAATTTTTTAATTTACAACTATCAAATTCTACATTGATGACAAAAACTCTTTCACTACAGTAATATTCCTTCTCTAATGTATATCTAAAAGCAATCACATATTAGAACTTGAAAAATAAACTATAAAATTAAAATGAATTTTTATTTAGCAGTATTTCATAAATTATTTTAATGCACACAAGCTACATGGCAAAACAGCATGTTAAATCAATGAAAACTTTCAAAGGGAAGGTTATTCGGTATCTAAAGTTGAATGATATCTCAATAAAACAACATTTTATTATTTTAATTTGCAAATCTATTTTGTGAATAGAACAGCTGTTAATTATAGTAAATGGCAGCTCACTCATTAGTTACTGCAGACTGTAATTATGACCAGACAATGAAGATAGGGACCATTTTACATTTAGTTTTGATACCAAACTCTTAAATTATATTTACAGCCAGTAACAAAACCTGACCATAAAAGACGACCAGTATGTACAAGAATAAGACTGAAAATTTTCCCATTCTTCCTAAGAGCCAGAGATGCTGCAAATGTATTTCCTTCCTGTATCCAGGTAGGTGTTATATTAATCAAAGGTCTCTGCTTTTCCTAAGAGCCAGAGATGATCCAAATGTATTTCTTTCCTATATCCAGGTAAAATATAGGTGAAAGATACCAAAGGGACATTCAAACTCATAAGTCAAAAATAAACTGACAACACCATGGCTAGAAAAGAAATAGACCAACAGTCAAACAACAGTTCACAAAACCCAACATAGAAAACTGAAGATTGAGCAACATGAACCCCACAAAATTCTGAGGGGGATTTCAGGTGCTCTTGATTGGTAAGCAGATCCTGCTTCACATGTGGCACCCGTTGTGTTACTCATGTAAGTGCAAAACTGGTAATAAGTTTAATTTGGTAGGTCACATTCTTGGAAATGGGGACAGGATTGTAGTTTCAACAATTGGATCCTGCTCCACATGTGGCACCCATCTCATGCTCATGTTAGTACAAGTAATAAGTTAAATAAGTCTTAATTCAGTAGGTCACATTTGGTAAAAGGGGACATGATTGTAGTTGCGACAATTGAAACATATCTGCTATCATCTGTGAACATTATTCCATAATGCCTTTTTAATGGTCAACCATCTCATGATGGTGTCCGTCATATGTCCATTGTCCTTGACAACATTTTCTTGGTTCAGCCACTGCTTGAATAAAATATTTATTTTTTTTATATAAATTTCTCACTTATTAAGAGTAATAGGATAAAATTGTGAATAGAAATGGGGAATGTGTGAATGAAACAACAACCAAACAAATGTGCAGAAAACAGCTGAAGGCCACCAATGGGGATTCAACACAGTGAGTTAACTATATTTGGTATATGGTTTCCTTGTAACTTCTCCATGTCCGTCAGACAGGGTTCACCTGACCTTGACCTCATTTCATGGATCAGTGATCAAGGTTAAAGTTATATGACTAGGTCTGTTTCTCAGATACTTTATGCAGTAGGTGAACTATATGTGGTGTATGAAATGATTAAAAGGGGTACATGTTTGCTTAGCAGATATCATCTGACCTTGACCCAAATTTCTTGGTTCATTGGTCAATTTTAAGCTGTTGTGTTTTAGTCTATTTTTCAAATACTAGTAGCAATAGGTCAATTATATTTGGTGTATGGAATAGTTGTAAGGTGTACATGTCTGTCTGGCATGATTTGTTCTCATTGTCATGGATATTTTAAAATAGTTTATGTGATACTTGTAGTAAAACCTTTATCTGTAAGACTTCCAACATAAAATCAATGGTCAGTAAAGCAGGGGAGACATCTTATCTTGTTATGATATAAACTAGAAAAATTTCTTGATTTACAGTATTTTTGATAAAATAAAAGGAATACTACTTTCTTAACCTTATTAAAAAGCAGTTTTCAATTTTTTAACTTCTCTATAACTTGTTTTTAATTTTCTGAAATATAATATCTTAAAACAGGTTATATTTGACTGCTTGTATGGCCAGAGTACTAATGCCAAGTTGAAGAACATGGCTGTACAATTTGTTCATCATGTTTGTTTGAAGTGAGTATATATCATACCATGTTAGGAATGCAGTGTAAATTGTTAGCAGAATTACTTGAAGAGATGTGGAAGAAACCAAAGGGATATTTAAACTCATGAGATGAAAACAAAACTGAAAACAACATGGCAAAAAAACAGAAAATGACCAAAATAGTAGACAAAAAGCAACATTAAAAACTAAAAATTTAGCAACACAAACCAAAAAAAACAAAAAAACCCAGAGGGGATCTGAGGTGCTCTGAAAGGGTTAGCAGATCCTACTCCACATGTGGCACCAGTCATGCTGATCATGTTAGTACTACTAGCACTAAGCTACTTAATACTAGTGGAACAAAGTGTTCAGTACATGTAGATTTAAAAGTATTTTTTTCAAAGGAATTCTATTTTATTATTCATTACGGTAATTTTTGTTTTTAATGACAATTTATAATTAGATGATATTAGATGAAAGTTTCATTAAAAATTGATTGAAGGGCCAGGCAAATAAATACTTTCGATTTTTTTTCAATTGTACTGAAAATGAGATTACACCTAATTGTTGTCATTGTGGAAAAACATGTCAGAATTGTAGATTATTTTTATTTTTCAGTTGTGCTGACAACAAGTTTACCCCTGTGGCCCCTGTGCTATTATCTGGTATGGTTAAACTGATTGGTGAGGCCACTGATGTAAGTTCATATGATAATGAATATCTTATG